CCCAGTACTGCTAAGTTGTATCTCCTCATTTCCATTGATATTTGACTGGTCTTCCCGGTTTCCCACATTGTTCGAACGTTCCATGTACCTACAAAAGTGTTTGCTCTGGTTGTTAGAAGGGGCATCGGCCTCGTGGCTTCCGAAGGAACTCGGCTTTCACCATGAAGCGTCATAATTCTTCTAAATGAAGACCTTCTATTAACTACTGGTATCTTACGATTAGCTTTTATTGTAACAGAGCCCTGTGAGTGACTCACAACAGTGTTAGACGAAGCTTTGCTTTGGAGCTTTGGCGGATTGGTCTGAGAGTTCACCAAGGACTTATCAAGTAAACAGTCGTTAGTTTTAGCTGTTTTTTGATTTTTCTTCTCAGTCACGCCAGGATGGGTTTCACTCTTACCATCAGATTTTGGTAGTGCAGTATGTAACTCACAATGAGAGTCCATCAGTGAGTTACTAACTACCTGTGTACTGCCTACAGCTTTTTTCCTTTCGTCTCGTTTCCTATGTACCGTAGTCCATTTTTCATTGCTCAGGGCATTGGGACTATTTGGAACGGTGATGTTTTTATCCAGTTCGTCGGTTCCCACTAAAGGTGTATTGTTATCACTGTCAGTACCAGGCGGTATTACTCCCCTTGTTAATGTTAACGGCGATCTCACTTTTGCGTCGGTCAGAGTCGGTTGTTCGAGGCGTCGCGTGACAGCAGGTACTACACTGACACAATCGTCACTGTCAGTGCCCATGTTGTCAGCGCATATGTCATCGTTTTTCTTGCAGGCCAAAGCCAATAGGCCCATAGCCTCCTGAATTAGTACCTTTTTATCCGTACAGCAGATCATACAAAGCCAATGCGAGTTAGGCTTCGAGCTTCTTTTGTACGCCATCGGACTTAGGCGTGTACACATTTTGTGGTACTATTTTTACAGTCATCACACTGCATTCCCTACTCAACGGAGAACAAACAGTTTGGTTGCCCACATTTGTGAGTCTTACCAAACATTGTAATTCGATTTAAAAGGTTTAAAAACACAAAATGATCACAATGTGAACACAAGTGTTAGTCTAGGAGTAAAAAAAGGTACCTCGGACAAAATTTAGCAAAAAATCTCAAACTTTAACCCAAGTACTTTTAGTTAAAGTAGACCAAGAATGCTGTTTGGTGCAATAAGTACCAAAAGCAAGTATAATCACAACAAGTACAAAAATCACTGTACTTTTTGAAACCAGCGCGTTACAGAGCCAGGCAGCCAGTTGCTCTGAAAAAAACCTCAATAATAACCATCACTTAATAACCGTGAAATCTTATATACAAGAAATATCAAGAGTACCACAAATAGTGATACCCACATCCTTTTCAATAATTAAAAATGCATTACTGCATTATTCCATACACCTCCAAGGATGAACGTGGTGGTAGAATATGGTTGCTGTTTGCAATAAGAAATTCTCCGCTACTAACAAACTTCACTTGTAATCCGTACCTAGGTAAAAAAAATGACTAGTCAATTATTTTCGGCAAACTTTGAAGGTTGTATAAAGCAGTGCAACATTTTAAAAGTCTCAGTACCTCAAGGTCTTTAATAAAACTGCAACAGTCGTAAGTGATAGTAATTCCGTTCGTAGATGTGTTTCTCAGTCTGTGAGTTGTTTTCGAATATTTACAGTTTAGTTCTTCTAAATACATTTCATATAATGCAGTTGGGTGAATGTATCTACTCTCTCTGTATATTCTGTAGTATTATAGGTATTAAAAAAATCAAAGCAAATAAAATAACATGACCTTATTCACTTGCGAAATCATATTTGGGGTTACTGCTTTTAGCATCTGAAGTATTCTGCTTCATTCTATGGGTTCAAATGGTTGCAACCATTCCGTACACATGTGTACGAAAAAGAAGCTTAAGCGAAATTTCGCTTAACTGACTTCTGTGTCTATTAACAGTGGATCATGAATACCTCTAAGCAGGAACCTAAGTATATTAACGGTAAAAGAGGAAAAAGAAATTGGTTAGTCCTGGTAAGGTACTATCCTTAGTCCTCAAGAATATGGGTAGGACTCTAATTTATGGACGAGCCAATCAGAAGCGTTTTTGGAATTTCAAGGTCACGGCGCTAAGTTCAGTGCGAGATGCTCACATTCGATCGTTTTACAGCAGATTTTAGAGAATAGGTGATCGTTGAGAGACTACAGCAGATGGGACTATTAAGAAGTTCCTGTGTCTGTGACTGCGGCAATTAAATGACCGCAGCACGATGTGCAGACTGTCGCGATGACATTGTATTTCGTTGTACTATATGTTGTAGAAAAAAATCCGCTCGAACTGGCACTTTTTTTGCCCGGTCACGGCTAAGGCTAAGACAAACCATGATAATCGTTGCAAATTGGATCATAAAGTCTCCAGTAACATTAGCTGCGGCTATACCGATGATTGGAAAGCGTATAGATACCTCTCGAGACTTGGTTTTGTGCATCATGTGGTGGTGCACAAACGTCATTTCTTTGATCCAACGACGGGGGGTCCATACAAACAACATTAAGGGCATGTGGTCTAGGCTGAAGCATTTTTTAAGACCCTACTACGGCTCCAGAGGACGATTATTATGGAATCATATGGACGAGTTCTTATACCGCATGCACTATGATTTCAAAACTTCTGGACCTATATCAAACCTCAACAAGTTCTTAAATAATGTAAAAGAAGAATATCCATTGTAATTCATCACTTTTTTATTATATATTTTCACTTCATACTAACTCACTTCTGATAGGCTAATGTCCTCAAGGTCACTTAAAAATTCGTTCAAAGGTCGTCCATAAAGTAGAGTTTCACCAGAATATGTCAAGTTTTCTCTTAAAAGACTCCTGAGAAGTCGCTTGGATTAGCTCAGCCGGCAGCAGCTAATCGTCCACACTCAAAAATTTGCTTCCCATACTGGGTCGTGAACTTCCAGAAGCACACATCAATACTTTAAAGTCTAAAATCGTTAAGTCGACTTAACGATCGCCTTGTAGTGTCGGTCACTATGTTAAGCTCACATAACTTATTCTAGCTTCTGGACAGGCCAATTTGTCAATTCTACTTAAGTCACGTCTTGACTTTGTCATTTATTTACCTATCAACCTTGATTGCTTTTATTTGAGCGTGTGTGTGCGCACTTGTCTGTGAATTATTCTTGTTGGACTACAAATGTCGATTCATGCTCGGTTAAATTACATTGACTCACACTCCTTTCATGTGTGTCATTTTGATCCGCTCTCTTCTTTTCATCCATATGACTGTTCAAATCAATGAGCGTACAGAATAGGCGTATCCAAAAATCAATTCTCATTTGTCCGCAGTCGTTCACAAGCCGAGAACAAATTACTTGTTAGCTGGCTATCGACTTTCCCATCGAATCATCAACGAGTGGAATTCACTACCTCAGCACGTGGTTGAGGCTCTATCTGTCGACTCTTTCAAAAGAAAGTTGGATCAACTGAGAGGCCACCATTGTTAGGACTGACATAGGCCATCAAGCCTTCTGTCCTTCCCAAACTGAAACTGACATATGACTTATTTAATTCCGTTATTCACTAACGCGATTTAAGTCGATAATTATATTCGAGAATAGTCAGGATGTCTAATTCGGTAACAATTATCCATTACAATCTAAATGGAGTCAGACATTGGGCCACAAAAACCTATAAAAACCCATAAGGTAAGACCTAATATAAATAATCCCTAATTGACAACCTCTCAATCCTGGCTCCCCTGGGGAGAAGCGATCACGCCGTCGTAGCCTTCAACCTTATCAGCGAATTCGAGCTAACAGCAGGCACTGGTGCTACAAACCGTTGGATGTGTCGACTTAACAGGTCAATCTACAGCAAGTAGACTGGGAAGCCCTCTCTCAACTTGGTGTAAACACTCATTGGGCTTTCTTAATGTACCTGATCTTATGTGATACAAAGCGGTCTGTTCCGCCAACTGTCCCCAAAAGCTACGAGCAATCTACATTCATCAAGAATCGCACTTTGCGATTGCTAAGATGCGAAAGACAATACTGGGCGGAATATAGCCGAACTAGTGACAACTGTACATATAGGCAGTTCAAACAAGCAAGGAAGCAATGCACAATTGTGATAAGAGAAGACAAGCTTCAGTATCAGATAAAGCTACTAGGTAAATTTATCTGCAATCTGAAAAACTTCTTCCGTCTTGCGGCCTCCCTTCAACAAGCCAAGACCGATGTTTTCTTATTGTTAGGTCTTAATGTCCCAACAAACAACGACGGCGACACTGCCGACCTTCTGACAGAACAGTATCGTCAAACATTTCAACCGTCACATACTAACAACATCGATGATAGCTTCACCTATAACTTGACAAGACTCTCGAAAGTGAACCTGAGCGCTAACTTGGTGCATCATAAACTGTACCATCTAAACAAGGATACTTTTCCTGGCCTGAATATAGTTCATTCTGCTATACTTAGGGGAGTGACTTCAATCTTGACAACACTGCTTATCGTGATGTTCTCACATTCGCTTGGCTGGAGCATAGTGTCAGTAAATTGGAAGCTGGTTCACGTTACACCAATTTTAAATGGGATTAACGAAGAAAACCTTCAAGCTACCAACCGGTAGCTCATCTCTCAGTGCCCTCAAGCATATAGAGTCCCTGATATGCGACGGTATACGTTAATAGGCCGTTACCCATTCCTCACACTTTACAGTGATTATAGCACTAGGGTGCCACCGCACTTTGTACACTTCCAGTTCTGTACGGAGACTATGGATAGACTGGAAAAGCCAGTTAACAATTTACCGCGACCATTGAGGGACTTTATATCTAGAAGGAACCAAAAATCGTCAATCTAGCAGCGTCTTCGTGTTTAACTAATAAATGAAAATGTAATTGTCTCATTTACTAATTTTAGTGCTTGGAATATCTTCCTAGGTAAAATGTTGTAAATAATACAAGCTTCATAATAATCTTCCGATCTACTCTACTGCAATGAAGACTCTTAGAAGAATACAGGACGTCTTTGAAATCGAGAGAAACATAGTTGTAGAACCAGAAGTCAAAAATTTAATGTTGGATCTTGAAGACTGGTTCAGTCTAATAGTAAAATCTGAGAATATACTGAGTTGGAAAAACCCTCGATCAACATTGCTTGTGATATTTGCAATCACTATTTTGTTTCTGTTGGTTCACGTATACGAACCACCGATCCTGTTGGTTATTGGTTGTTCAGGATTGCTTTTAAGCTTAATAGACTACTTCGGACCCTTAGTTTTGTCTAGGTAAGATCCACTTATCAAATAATTAACTAAACCGCAGAGTGTTCAATAAACCTCCAAGTTACGAGGATCACTGGTGTTATTGGAATTTTTGTAGACGTCTTGTCCACATGCGTCATGTACTGATCAACTTCTTTGTTTTTGTGCATAAAGTTCGATATAGAAACGCGACTCTACATTTCCTAACTAGTTCATCTCTTTTGTGCATAGTTGGATTTGTTGGACTACATATTAGTGATTTGTGTCTGGTTTATCTCTTAATACTCGTTTGCTTTATCGCACCAAATCTGCATCCTAAAGGAATACTAAAGGTAAGACTTTTCTCAATCCTTAACTTTTAGAAAGCATGCCTAAAAGCTTCTGTTTGCACTTGATGATTAGTTAAGTGGTTATTTACTAACCAGTCAGACACACCATAAGCTCACTTAATTGTTAACAAAAAACCAGATCATCCTGATAAGTACGTTCACAAGACTCAACTAAAGTATCACAACATGCATTGGTCGTAACGAAATCTACTCACCATACATGATAACTGAATCGCCTTGTATCTCAAAGTAAAACCATATCGTAAATACTTATGTGATAAAAATCAATCTATGTAGACGCACATTTGAGTCTTGTGTTCTACTTATATGGTGAGCATGATTTTTGAATAAAGATAGTGAATTATTACCGATTAGTGAATATGCGATTAATACATACACGGCGTGAGTACACAACTATTATGAGCAGTGAACGTTTTTTCCGCCAATGAAGAAATTATACAGTACCTGGTGTCAGTATTGCTGAATTAGCCCCCAAATGCCCTGTTACGGCTGAGGGTTGGGATAGTCTGCTATCCCTGTCTAAATGATCACATATGGTCAAGCGTATACAGCCACTACCAGTAAAGTCGTACTCACTACATTCTCGCGGCACCGAAAAGCGAACGGCCGGTGCTTAACCTGGGTTGGTGGACACAGAAAGTTCACCTAGCGAAGTTGGAAAACCTTGATTGCGAACCGGTGGTGCACACGGGCTCCAGTATCCTTAGGGGACAAATGCTGTGTGAACCAATTGTTGACCACCGGCTAGGACTCCATCTATTGGCGTTGCTCCATTGTCTTGTGGATCAGATTTCTAGAACGAGGTCTCCGGGTGTGGTCTCGTAAGAAAACCACATGCTTCGGTCTGGGCACCCGTGCAGTATCGTGGTACACACACAAATCAAGTGACTTGTGTAGTACATATGTATTCGGTGCGCCTTTGTACCAATATTTGTGTTGAAAAAATAAATAATGTCACAATTGCAGCTTTAAGTATGTGACTTTGAAAGGCGCTTGTATGAGGTCTAGCAATACTACCCAACCAACGAAACATGCGAAATCTGTTAGTTAAAGGTGCTTTCAACACTAAACCATTGCATTTATATAACACCTATGCTAATTAATAATAACGTCCACTTATGACTTGTTGAACAGTAATGTTTAGTTGTGCACACTTTTTCACCGCACATAATTATGATTTTCATCGAGTCGCAACTTTAAAAGTGACAAATCCTTTGTAAGATCCAATAATGATCTCTGGGTATTAGTTTGGACATTCCTATTCATGGCACATTCTCAGTGGTCGGTTGTGAAGAGATTCCAGCAGCACACTTTTCTTAAAGTACTTCTTAACGATGCTGTCTTAAAATACACTAGAAACTCCACGACGAAATTACCCAGCTTGAAACACAACTGCAAAGTCCTCCTGAACTACATATATTCACCATCACAAAGTTCCCCTAACCTTTTTAAAATAAGCTTATGATTTGTGGGAGTTCAAAATGGAGGCTTATCATAGTTTGTTGTTGAGAGAATATAAGCAACTAAGTAGTATGTAGTACACTCTTTTGAGGCCATATTGATTCTGATTAAAACTACAGTAACTATTCGACGTTTTCGGAGACTGACATCATTGTTCTTTTACTGTTTAAGGATGCCACTGAGACTAAAATCTTAAGATGCAACAGTCGCAAGCAACGTAACTTGTCTTACCATTTCTATATTAAGAAGATTCAGCTAAATTTATCTTATAAATGCTTTTTGCCGAGTTTAAAAACCTTCGGATAATTGTGAAAGGTGGAACAACTTTTCTTTTTACAGGTCATTGTTTGGATCCTCTGGTATCCTTTAACTATTCTTCGATCTTTCGCATCAAAATTTCGGCCAGGAATACCGAAGTTTTTTACTCGGACCCTGCGTGTATCAAACAAAAACACTGAGAAAGACCAGTGACACTATTTTCTTATTTAGTATTGAACACATAATGCTGCTTTTTCTTTAACTATTGTCCAACATATCAGTAAATCATTCAATCCAAGTTACTGGTTACATAAACTAATTTGTGCATTGTCTTAAAGTGCTTAATATGTATGTAGAGGATGTCGCGGATCGAAACCGATTACTTTGCAAGACATCCAGGACCTGAAGTGTCACTAGGTCGAGAAATATTCATATAAGTAACTGAAAAATATGTGACGTTAACATTGGGTTGAACTTACACAGAATAACCAAAAATATGTAACTACCACTAAATCATACCACTTGAGTGCAATTGGTTAATATGAGTTTATTACTCGAAAAACATAACAAGTTGAACTTATTCCCAAGATCACTTACAAATTGCTAGAACAGTACATGTTTGACCAGATAGGGTTTTATTAGCAGGAACAACTTAAGACTGATCAAACAGTACAGAAAGATAAAAAGTGGTTATTTTAAACGCAGTTTAAAAATAGACTGTATGCAGATTTTTACAGATGACATGTGTACACGAGTGAGAAAGTCGAAAGTAGTTGAGCTGAAGTGTGTACTATCTTCGGTTACTTAGCGTCTACCCTGGTGCCGACGAATTATTTGGTCAGAGCGATCTATATAAAAAAAGTAATAGTAGAATAACATAAGAAGCTTGTGGAGATTGTTGAATCTTCGCAGATTACGTCACGCATTGATCTTAGACAAGCATGGGGTTTCTGAATGCGACAATATTTAAGGCAACCAACTCTAAATTAATGCAACATGCTCTTGTTTGAATTAGTTGTAGCATAAAAGATGATTCAACTTTTCCAAACAATAAACTACCTTTTTTAATTTGAGGCTTGCTTTTTATTAGTGCCAGGTATTCGTTCTCGACTGTATTTTCACCATCATTTTCGACCACTTTTGAAGACTTTTTGGCTGGCTGTCGTTTTTGAGCGATTGAGGTGAACCAGTGCCAGATACCAATTAGAATTGCTATACTCAAGGCAATTACTAAGATAACCAAGAAAATCAATTCAGTGTCTACACCTTCTTCGATTTCAAACAACTGTAGGGAACGATTACAAAGTATAAATAACTTACGTTAACAGTTTGATTAAATAACTTATGAGCATAATAAATGTCATTATTGTCATGATAGTAGACAACAATAGACAGGTCAAAAGATCGACCAGCTAATTCAGGAGCGGGTTTGAATCTGTAATAAAGGGAAGTCTAAAAATTATTTGGTAAACGGAACCAAACAAACCTCTTGACCGGGCTCTAATGTCTCATGGAGGCGTTGCTTGGTAAAGTTCTGAATGTGATAGTCATAGTACATAGGATAGTGAAGTGCTCCTTCTATAAAATCTAGTTTAAATTGTTCACCGTTTGTCGGGTTGGTATTAGCCAAGGAAGCCACAAGGGATGAGATTTTTCCGACGGGCAAGTTTATTTCACGACGTCCAGAGTAAAGACCATATGGAGGTTTACTAAGGGCTACCAAGACACCAACAGCTGGGGATCCCTTGAATCTATCGTCTTCATTTGTTACAGAAGGTAAGAGCGTGGAGTCTTCTTCAGACAAAATAGTTGCGTCCTCGGCAAAAGAATTAAGTACTTGAAAGTAGAAAGTTAATAAATTAAGTCAGAGATCCAAACAACACGTATAAATTATAAATATTGCTTTGATTATGACCAGATAGATATATCATGTGGTAAGTATTCTGCACTAGTCTCAAAATAATAACTTTTTAAATGTTCCAAGGATGTTCATACCACAGGTCAACTGAATATAGTCGATGTACAGACTAGGTGCAAAATATTACGTTAAAGTGGCTGAAGATGACTTGAATTAGCAACCAACCTTTAAAGATGAGGTGGATCAGTTATCACTTTGTTTTTGTTATTTGGAAGTGTACACGAATTCGCTGTCTGAACTCCATTCTGGAAATTAGGTTTGAAATATGATGGTAGAGCTATAATACTTAACAATCGCTTCTGATAGAAATGGCCACTAAGAAAGCTGTTTACCCTAATATTGCTTTCATCAGCTTGATCTTTCTTTGAATACGTTAATACGGCATACGATAGTAACACAAACAATCTTCCCTAGTAATTAAACATTTATACTGATGAGGTCAACTTGACGTTCTTCAGGTTGGTTCGATGTTGCGATACATTCAATCTATCTGGAGACGCATCGAGCATGGTAACACTTGATAACGCCAGCGAACAAACTAGGTTTTCTGTTAGTACTAAGAAGTTCCTAAAAGCCAGGCTAGGGATATTTTTGAATTGCTGCTTTTTTCTAGAAGCTAATTGGCAAGAACGATAACGAACATCTGTGTCACATTCGGGTCGGACAATTCTATAGTTTCCCAAGTATTACACAATTTTGTGTAGACATGTATATTCGACTTTTTTTGCGTTGTAGAAGGTGGACTATTTAAAAAGGATAGTGGTATTTTAATCAATGAATAAACTTGTTGGTCTTCAACGAATTCTGAACAAACACCATAACATATCAAAGATAAGGTTTCTGTAATCAGTTCTGAAAAGTTGACAAGTTTTTTTACTCACATTTGACTAATCTCACTGCAAAAGACTAGACTGCATTGAAAAAAATCATAGTGAGTGTAGTCTTTATAAATCTTAGTAAAGCCTCGGACAAGTTCTGTTTTACGAATATTAGAGTGAAGCTGGAAAGCCCCAGTATCGGTTGTACAGTTAGATATGAGATTAGTTACTGTCTCAAAGATAAGTAAATTGCGAGTGAAAGGTGATATCAGTCAGTAACAATGTAGAACTTCGTACGTACGTACATCAGTTCGAGTTGCCACACCACATTATCACAGAGATGCAGTTGTCGATTCAAATCCCATAGTGGTAGAGGTGGTAAGAGTATAAGCAGTAATCGGAAAGACTAGGGTTTGAAGATGTTATTCAAGGAGTATAGTCCAGTAAAACAAATTTGGAAAGAGGAAAAAAAGGGACATGAAGAATTCAGAAGATAAGAATTCGGGAGAACACAGAGTGGATGCACCTGCGCCATTGCAAACAATCTAAAGCCATGTCATTCAGGGTCTCTAACCATCGCTTGCTGTTATCTCGCGGTTCCCAACCAGGTAGTCTACACCTACCAATATGGTTCAGTTCATTCGTCAGTCATTTCATGGACTTGTGCCATGTTTTAGTCTGGCCGCCCCTAGCTTTCTTCCAACCTACTACTATACCGTTGAACATCGCCCGTCGAGGCAGTCGGTGGTTGGGCATACGTAACGCGTGTCCCAGCCATCTCAACTGATGAATTTTCACTGCTTCATCAATTGATTTGCCATCCTTACCTAGTACCCGTTTCCTAACAACTGAGTTACTTACTCGATGGTCCCAGGATGTACGAGCAATGTTTTAAAGACATCTATGATCAAATAATTGTAACCTACGAATATCCTCTACTCTTACCGGCCATGTTTCACTGCCACAAAGTAGTAATAGTGGTAGTAGTAAAAAGGGTGATATGCCTTCATGGAAGTTTGTGAAGCACTGCAAAAGACAATTCTAGAAACCTTTTCTTCTTTACTATACGTAAATGACCTAGGCAAAATAGGGAAGCCATCGGTTTTATTTATTACACAGCATAAACATTTCAAAACGCATAAAAATTGAGGATGATAAGTTGGGATCACAGGGAGGTCAGGATGAACCAGTTAGGTCAGTGGAAGCGGACTTGGACGGAAGTGTAGCAACGAATGCCGACCAACGCGACGTTTCACGTCACTACCTAATAGATGGAATACCTTTAAATAAGGCTACGAATTATAGTAACTAAATTACCGTAGGCAATGACACCATAACTATGAGTAATTGTAAAGCGGCTGCAGATAAAAGGTCCCGAATTTTGTGAGCTATACATGAAGCGTTTTGAAATTAGGAAGGAATGTTTGGAACATTAATTCGGACACAATAGGGGTTGCAATATAGAAAATAGGACTTAAGGGACATGCACCTTTCGAATAAAAAGCCGACATATTAGAACGGGTTTAATGGGGAGAGACCATGATAGTTCCCGAGCTCCCAATTTTGGGGAAATGGCACAAAAACCACAAAATTTACCCTTAACCTTGGTCAAGGTCATTTGACTTCGGGAGCTTCCCCAAAATTGGAAGCTCGGGTTGTCTTTTAGACTTACCGTATGAGCACAGACTGAGACTTTTCAACCCACATTGATATCTTATCATGTTAAGAAGTAGCTTATCGTTTAAGTAAGCAAATAGTTTGCTGGTTGACGACATATGCACTTATATCGAACCTCTAACTGTTATTTATGATTTATCATTTAGGAAGACAATTTCGGAAATTCTAAAAACTAAGGTCAGATGATTAACATCTGGAGTTTTTTTCCTCAGACTGAACCGTAAATTACTGGGGTCCTATGAGTATGCAATATCAGAGACATTTTTGATGCGTTCATAACGAGAATTAACATCGATTACTTGGCCACCTATCCTTATCCTAGAAAAGTGGAACGTCAAGTTCTAAAAACAGTTAAAGTGGTTATCAAGAGCAATAACTGAGCCTGGTTTTAACAACAAATGTGGAAGTTAGTAAATAGTTTAAAAACGTCTTAGTAGTGATATATAGATAACTTACTGTAATTGCTACATAGAAGTAAGATCCATGAATAATATGCAAAGTTACAAGACAACATGATTAAACTAATGCATCGAAGGACGTCATCAATACGTGTCGCATTTAATAATTGGTCGATTAAAACAAAACAACATTTTCTTGTAAACGCGTTTTTATTTATTCAAATTCATAATAAAATGCTTTTACTCAAAGGTTGAAATAAATTTGCAAACACCATACAGCGCTAATATTAACTTCTTGTTAGTGAGGATGTCGTACGCCTATCTATTTAAGTATATAATTATAGGGGATACAGGTAAGCACAAATTACTCATCCCAATTATTTGAAATTCATCTTATGTGGTGGGCTTTAATCACACTAATTCCTGCATTAAAACCAATGGTACAGTTGTGCGTACTGAGTTGATTGAATTATGTAGTTGACATATTCATGGACCTAATTTGTTCTTACTGCATAACATTAAACCTAGAAGATCTGCAAGTTTTCTCTACATGCTGATTTGTTTTTTCTACCGCGATTAGTATTTGCAAACACATGTTTATTTAGAAAAGGTGACGAATGTGACAAAAAGTAACTGAGTAATGGCCAAAATATGGTTTTGAATTCCTTAACCGCATACTCAACTTCTTCCCAAACATCTATTGGTCAGGTCTAAGTGTCGGATATCTGCTTAGATTCTACATTGTAAGAAACTCTGTAAAATCTCATCACCAATGTAGAATAATAAATAGTTACTTTCAATTGAAATTTATCGGTGTATCACTAACATCTTGATAAGGCTTAAAGGATCTTATGAGTCAGTGACTTGTGGTTTTCTTAGGTCCAGATGAAAATCCGGCTTTCCAAATGAAGAATAGGTATTTGTTAAATGCGTTTTTCTCATGCAGTGCAATGTTACGTCTGGAGTCATTCTTGCGTTACTACCGGTCTTAAGCTCAGATGAAAGAAGAGAGTCGAGCATGGAGTTATCAACCCCGTTTCTTAGAGAAAAAATGTTAACTGGGTAAATGATTTGAACAATGCTCTCATGTATTGAAACAGTCAAGAAAACGTTATTAACTTCGCTTACAGTACTTTAGACAGGAAATGTCTTTAAAAAAACTGGACTTTATATTATTGTACGCGTTCATAGATAGTGGATTTGGTTCCATACGGAACTAAGAGTACAAAATCGTCGTAATTTTCGAACTCCAACCACTTAGTCATAAGAAAGCTTAGGGCCTGGTAGAAATGTTTGAGATGCTACTCCTTTTCCACAACAGGAGGGCAAATTCTGAAATTAGACCACCGAAACATTTTTAATGCTGGCGATAAGGTGTGAAAAATGTGTGGATACGTCAAAAACTAATCACAAAAGGTCACATAATCATCCTCGTGTAACTCCCCTGGCCTTTACAACCATGCCTTTATTTTGGCAAGACTTACACTGTTAATTCAGTTTTTGTTCCAAGTGTGGACAATCAACTACAATTCTTAACTTCATTTGTGCGTTGCTTCAAGTCATCTGGCATCACAACAACACAATAAGAGGAAATTTACAAAATAAATACCAAAGAAGTTGACACAATCATAGTGTTAATGAAGGTAAACATTGAGGAATGTACTCTCAAAATAATGAATGAAATAAAAAACGATGTCAATACTCAAGACTTCGTTTAAGATTAAGGATGAATGCATTTGCGCCGCCGCAATCGATTTTGATCCATGTTACCTAAAATCTTCAACCGTTAGTTCAGTCAGTCAGCTACAACGTAGGACCAGGCACATATATGCATCAGTCCAAGTTGCCATACCTCATTAACACAACAAGATGGACACCGGATTCATAAAGTAGTTAATTCAGAGGTGGTAATATGTAAAAGAAAGATTGTAATAAGGATATAATACAGGAAGAAAGAATTAGTTCGTAGAATGAAAGATATGAAGTTAGGGGCTGCCAAACCAAAACGTGGCATCAGTGCTTGAAGTTACTAACTTCTAGTCTGAGCCATGTCGGTAGATGCAGACTACTTCTACGCCACAACCAAGTAGTCTGCATCTACCAACATGGCTCAGACTAAAAGTTCGTAACTTCAAGCACTGATGCCACGTTTTGGTTTGGCCGCCCTTAACTTCCAACCATCCCCAACACCGGTTAGCATTGCACGTCGTGGTAATCGGTGTTCAGTCATACGCAACACGTGGCTCAACCATCTCAGTAGATGAAGATTCACAACTTCATCAACCGACTTACCATCATTCCCTAATACCCTGTATCTAACCTCACTATTACTTACCCGGTCTTGGTTGATTATGAATACAGTGGTCTTGAGTGCTGTTAGAGGTATGAGGGCGGTTATCACTTCCCGGTTGCCCACACCGTGGAAGGGTTCTTCTGGAGGTACCTGAAAAGGAAATTGGTTTAGAGGTGGTCTTAGTGACCTCGGAGAGTGACCGCAGTGCCCAAGGGACAACTGCTTGAGGTCGGTCACACACGACCTTTTTATGGGTAATTTTTGTGTTAGCTCCGTACTTGTTGAGACCTTACCCCCGGAGACGGATATCCGTGGGATAAGGCGAGGTGTGCATTTTTCGGGTCGACCTTTTCTAACCCCACCCGGTGATCCCAGCAGATGTCAGCAATATTTCTAAGGCATCTGTGGTCAAATGCTAGTAGCTTACGAGTGTCTTCTACTCTTAATGGCCATGTTTCGCTGCCGTAAATTGAAACAGAACGAACTGCCGCGCAGTATACTCATCCTTTTATTGATAGACGGATATCTCGCGTTCGCCATAGGTGACGTAAGTTGGCAAAAGCCAGGCGAGCTTTCCGAATCCGAGCTGAAATTTAGTCAGACACCAACCCATTAGGGCTGATCAGACTTCCAAGATAAGTGAAGTTTTCAACGCGTTCGACTACTTCACTCCCTATCCTTAGTTCAGGTGTTGACGCAGACCAGTCCTGAAGCATCAACTTGCATTTAGAGGGAGAGAAGCGCATTCCAAACATTCTGGCATTGTTGCTTAGTGCTACCAAAAGACTATGCATTTTATCAGCGTCTTCGCCAAAAAGGACTATATCATCTGCGTATTCTAAGTCGATAAGCGGACCTCCTGGTAGATCAATACCCGAGAATTCAGTCGATGAGAACGTTATTTCCATCAGTAGATTTATGATGAAATTGAACAAAAATGGAGATAGTGGACAGCTTTGCCGAACACCACTCGAGATCGAAAAATCAGATGACAGTTCGCCATAAGCTCTGACTCAACTAGTAGTGTTCGAGTAAAGAGCCTTCACAAAGTTTATGTACTTCTGATGTACGCCTTTCAATGACAGACACTGCCACAGAATCTCGCGGTCTATAGAGTCAAATGCTGCTTTTAAGTCGAGAAAGACCACCATTGTCGGACGCCGATAAGTATGCCTGTGTTCCAGAACCTGACGAATGGTGAATATGTGGTCGATGCAGCCACGACCAGGTCTGAAGCCGGCTTGGTTCTCTCGTGTTTGCAGTTCATGAGTCTTAGTTAGGCGTCTTATAATTATCGAGGCTAGTATTTTAGATACTATATTAGTTAAACTAATCCCTCTATGGTTGTCACAGGTTGATTTTAACATGTCTTCAGATAAATGGTTTTTGCGCTCATTGTACCGAGTTTCCACTTTGAACACAGCTGATGACAGAATTATTCCCTCACTATTATCATATACACTACTTAGGACATTATACACGGAACAGTTTTTGAAGAAGAAATAATAATAATGGGAGAAAGGGTAAATAAAAGTAGTGATCTTGGGTGAAAAATATTCTTCTGTTGAAAGCATGTAGAATGTTGGCTACAGCACAACCAAAGAATTTTTGGTTGAAATCTAGGAGTTGGACGTAATCCCATCTGACTGGTCACAATCAATAATTGTCCCAACACATAAGAAGGGGTCAAAATCATCCCATGATAACCATAGAGGGGTTAGTTTGGCTGATATAGCGTCTAAAATACTAGCCTAAATAAGTATCGGACATCTAAGACTCGTGAACTGAAAACACGAGGAAATCAGACATGGCCTTGGCTGCATCGACCACATATTCGTCATTCGTCAGATTTTAGAAGAGGTATGTTTATCAGTCATTGAAGTCACTAACTTCTAGTCTGAGCCATGTTGGGAGATGCAGACCACTTGGTCGGGGTCCGCGTGACTATCGTAACCAATGGTTAGAGACTGTAGGTGGCATGGCTCAGAGTCGACCACAATGGCGTAGGTTTATACACTCTTTGTCTCCCCTTAAACTATGAGATTAAAATTGCTTCATACTTTTTTTTACGAAATAACTCTTCTTGTACTATAGCCTTATACACAATCTTTTATATATTACTGCCGTTGAAGTAACTGCACCTATTCATCTTGTTCTAATGAGATGTGGAAACTTGGACAGATGCATATATGTACCTGGTCCTACGTTGTAGCTGACTGACTGGGGCTATTTAAAAATTTTTATTTAAGTTTACCGAAAGTATTTACTTTATTTTAAGATATAAACACTGCTTCAAATAAACACCGAAATGTGCCACACAATAAGAAAATGTGACTGATAAGATAGAAGAATAAATGAATAAAAGAAAGTGATGGGAGGAACTATACAGTTAAGAAAAATGCAACCAGAAAAAATCCCTTCAGTTAAATAAGTCCATCTCACTTTTACGATTAATGTGAAAGAAAATTACAACATTACTCTCATAAGTCCCTGCTGTGAGCCGTTTCTTATAGCTCTTCAAGCCACTGAGTTGCGTCATCTCTCGGACCCCAAACAGGGATTCGCAATGGGCCGATAGATGCCAGTTCTACACAACTACTTTTCATTCCACGGGATAATGTCTTTAACTGACCATCACCGGTTTTTTCAACCAGTCCAGCATCGGCAAATAATACACGATATGGAAATTTCTGTACTGATCAACCCACCCAAGCCAGTGTTTCAAGATGATGACACCCATTAAGTTGTTATCATTGCACCCAGGCTCATTGCCGAACTAACTAACTAACTAACTAATACACTGTTGCTACCGAATCCCCTCAG